AGTGCCATGACATTTTCCATCCACAATAGAGTTACACGGTGTACCAAACAATGGGCCCAGTCAATCGCGGTATCGCAGCTTCTGCAAACAACGCAACAACGGGCGAATTGTTGCAAGTGTACAGCACACTTTAAGGTTTTGGGTCTATTGTACTTTAAGGCCCAAGTTTCGTTATCAAACTTGTCGATCAGTTATGAATTTCGGAATGAGGAGAACAAAAGGATTTTCAATCAACTCATGAATCGAACGTTTAGGTAGTGTCTATGATATTATATTTCGATAATTTCTTGTCTTGCGGCTATTTCTAAGAAACTATCTATTATAATGTTAATAGGTTACAAGAATAGAACTTTTGTAATTTCTTCAATAATCTGTTAATATAATGTTAATAATAGGCGACCAAGGAAATTTAACGGTTAAGGGATGGGCAGTAGCGGCTCTCTTAAAATATCACCAAAGCCTAACTGCGATTCTAACCCGCCTGCCAATTGTGGCAACTTCTGACAAACCCCCTCTTTATGAGGTAGGCATATGTTTTGCTTAGCAGTGGACAATTTACGGCTGATACAATAAAAATAATAATTTGTTAATATAATAAAAGAAATTTGCTGATATGACTAACAAAGCATAGTTAAAACTGCTGAGTCTAGCAAATATGAAGGTTTATACATGGATTCCTTCCAAATAAGTAGGAATTTCCCAAAGTTTCCGCTGGATAGATAAGGAATTCCGCACAAGCAGAAGGAAACACTATATCTATGAATAACATTTTTTTTTAAATTAAGTAAAATGAAAAGTGTATGTAATAAAGCGAAATGAATATCATTTACCAGTATTTTGTAGTTTTGCTTACGTAAGTAAGGATAAAACTTATTCTTTTATTAACCTAAGTTACGGTCTTACTAAATCAACTATGTATCCAATTTCAACCATTTAAATATGATCAAGTAACAAACGTCCAAAAATTGGAAATATGTACTAACTTATTAGAAATCAGTAACGCCTATCTTCTAATATATAGACTGGCTTTCAACGATATCATCAAGTAATTAAAATTTTGTTAATCGTTATATTTAAAATAACTAAATATTTATTACTTAATCTTTAAATTTCAATAGAATAAAAAAATATTTTTCTCTATTTCTCAGTGTAAATGTGCCTGTTTTTTACAAAGAAACAATATAAGTGATTACTTGCTCACTGAGCGAACTCTATACACACTGACAGACTAATCACGAAATATCAGAAACTGCCAAGGTACATGTAGTTTCTAATATAGGTCATGACCTGCGGAGCTGAAATTTAGTAGGTGAATACCAGGGGTGTATACATCCATTAAGCAAGAGTTTTTGTAAATTCCCACAGGAACAGGGTATAGCGAGTTCCGAGAAGTCGAATCTGTGAGAAATAATACTAAAAAAAATAAAAGGAATATATTCAAGGCTTTGATTTCGTGTGAGGTAATCAAAGGCGTTGACGACTGTTACTGTTGTGTATTAAAATATATAATACTTTTCTTTTTTATAGAGATATTTTCAATTGTATCACCTATAACTTTCTCTGTTTGTTCAATGATTGACTGGTAAACAAAACCTTTTGGTACACACTCATATTTCTTACTAATAAAAATATATATATGAAAACTTCACAAAAAGTATGTAATTTTTTTAATATATTTATCTAACATCAGTTACTTTCAAATATTTATTATTATCATTACTATACTTTATATATGTTAGAGTAGATAACCTCAATGGTAAAAATATTAATTCTTTTTTATTATTGACAGTATATTGAAGTTTGCTAGTCTACTAATAAAATTTGAAGACCGATGTTTTTTTTTCCTGTTGTATATTATTTTATTTAGCTTTCTCCAAAGAACAACGTTTAAATACATGCACATCCATTGAAATGCTCAAATATATTTGAGATTATTAATAAACGTTTGTCTATATATGAGCGTCACTTACTTAACCTTCACCATCGATTCTCAGTTCCTCGAAACACATGACCGCCAATGGGACAGTCACATAGCCACTCCAGTTAGCTTCATCATATAGCCACTTTAATAGTTAAGACAAAGACAATATCGCTCTTTTTAGTTCTTTTGGGGAAACCTTCGTTTTAAAGTAAAACTCCTTATTCATAAAAACTAGAACGTCATACAAATCTATTTTAAGTATTAGAGTGTTTTGTTACTGTCTGTCAAATTGAGAAATTAGCGGAAAAAAATCACAATGCACTTTATTAGCTAAAATAGGTTTATTAGGGGATTGACGTTTTTATAAATAAGGAGTTTAGTTAGGTATAGTCTTCCTGATTAGCCGAAATATTTAGAGCTCATTAGCTAGAAATAATTTATTTAAGGTACTGATACAAATAATATGAGTTTAAATTAGATTCTATTATATATAATTCACTATTCTATTTTTAAGTTTGTTTTTCTATTTAATTATATGTCACCTTAAAATTACCTTTTAACCTTTAAAATACTACATAACCTTTAAAACACTACATACTATACTGTCGATCTAGCAACTGAACTATTATTAATTAATTTATTATTAGTATTGGTGTGGGCGTTTTAATATATAGTGTATACGTATTTACAAAAAATAAGTATCTCAGTATGTCTATCAATTATCCAGTACTATAAGTACAATGCTTACTGATTATTTTGATCATAATTACTTTGTTTAAATCCGCTGCCATAATTAGTATATATGTGGCTGCCAACACTCAAAGATTTACCACTACTATTACTACCAGAAGTTCCACAACCTTTAACCACATTAGCCAACAATATCCAAGTACCGTCTTGTTTACGCATGTTTTGTGACACAGGTTTCTCCTCTAAATGAGACATCTTCAGGCAAATGATAAAATCGCTACTCTGAGCTTAGTGTTAACTTTGCTTAGTTTAAGACTAGATGGTGCTGTTCGATATCCTGTAGTATTTATTTATTAGTATTTCACAAAAAAATATGACACAAATGCAAATATCATAATTAGTCAATACTTAAATAATTGAACCATCTTTACATTTATGTTTTTAAACATTTTAAAATTCTTACCTTGCGTTCGGTATCATCTAAAAATTAGATTTCAAAATCTAACCGCTCCAAAGAACTTGGACTGTCAAAATGCAAACCCACATTCGAACATGTGGAGTAATTAAAAACCAACTCCATACAGATAGCTATGAATGAGAGTTCGAAATCTGATTAAAGATACTTTTTTTGTATTACTAGCTAGCTACTACCAGAGGGAGACTGTACAAAAGTCGATTGCTTGGGTACCTCTGTCCCATTCGTGTTTCAACCGTGAAGCAATTTTGTTTGCATGGCTGTGTTTCGGTTTGAAGGGTGGGATATGGCGTGAATTTACTGGGTACAAAAGAATAACACCTGAGTCCTCAGGAATGGCAACGCATGGGGGATATCATGGGCGAAACAGTATACTTGTTATGACCATGGTACTGCTCATGTCTATAGGCGACGGTTACCACTTTCCATCAGGTGGGCCATCAGCTTGTTTCCCGTTCTAAGTTGTATAAAAAAAAGCTACTGGCAAACGTTATTCTGCATTCTATATAAATCAGAAATAGGGACACTAATTAATTACCTACCTTCATACCTACCGAGATTTATATATTGTATATACATAGATTACAATAATTATGACATCAAACTTTATTATTAAAATAAATTTAATGATTTTTTTTTTAAATAATTAACATTTTTTTAAGAATTTAACGTTTTTTATAGTTTTAAGTAATGTATATATATTATTTTGGGTATTATCAATCTGTATTTTACAAGCTACATATAATTGATATCGCGACTCCATTTTGTCAAACAAAAGCCAAAAATTAAATGTATGTCAAAAGATGATTAAAAGCTTTCTTGTGAAATTCTTAGACATAATTGAAATTATAATTTCAAACGAGTTTAATGCATGAGTAGTTTACTATTAATAAATAGCTTAATAATATCATCGTAAGTAATTGAACCGTAACATTTGATTTCGCACAAATTGAAATACTTGCGTTATCTGTTTATCTATATCTATGGAAACATCTATAGCTATTAGCCGAGACCCAATTTCCTCGATTGATTCTGGACTCAATTATGTGTCAATGGACCAATTTAATAAATTGGCAATTAATCTACAGTTAATGATAAAACCATAAAAATAACATTTTTATATATTTTTAATTTGCAAAATATGCTTTCTTAATTATACAGTATTATCATACCTACTTGTACAACATTTAGTCCCTTACCTTAAGGTTGTCTTGGAAAGATTGCTCTCAGCAATAAGATCGCATTACTGTACTTATACAATTGTATCGTTGTGTTTGTAAATTGCCTTACTTATTTCCTATATTGTATAATGCAAATATACTCATTCATTCATTCATTCAATTAAATTACGAGACCATAAAATATTTTCAAGGCAATTTTATGACAATTATATTCAAATAGGTATGTACTTTTTAAAATTTAATTGTCAAATTAATTGTTATATAACAATTAATTAATTTGACGATTAATTTGTATCAAATGTTATATAAATTAGTATACTGTAGTATAAAAACTAAGTAAACAAAAAATATATTAAAATAAATATGGCCAATAACACAAGTTTAAATAAGAACAGAAAATATCTAAATAAACTTACATAATTATAATTGGATTAGGAGGTAATCATATAGAAAAAGTATGTAAGGTTTATAATTATTTCGATAAATTTTAAAATGATAAATCGTTATAACACAATTGTAACAAAAATATTACAATATTCCAAAATTACTTTAGCTTATTTAAATTCAGTTTTTTAATACGAACACAAGCAATAAATTATAACATAATATTTTTAAAAACATCCATTAACAAAAATAAATTTAAGAATAATTTTATTAAAAAATAAAGTAACTTAATTCTATCGTTTATACATAAAATTAATATTATACAAAATTTTATAAATTAAGTATTTACCTCAATACAGCAACTGTATGAACGAATTAGAAAACTCCATGACAATATTACCTCGCATAAGAATGTTTATTGTATTATAATAATTATTATATTATATTCACCAACACTAACGTCACATCGTCAAAATAATCTAAAACAATTTTGGTTAACAACGAAATCTTTCCTGTTTCGTTTACATCCTTAGTTGCACTAAATTGTCCAAATTCTTAGTCAATTTTCATAATACAAACAAGTTCGTTTACAGCGAGCGTCCTCATTGTACTACGTTCTTTATCAGTGGATGTCACAAAGAGTCGCTTTTATTCACATCAAACAAAAAATAACAAAACGTCACAATTTGCCGGCGCGTCGCTATTGTCCTATGAGACGTCGCTACGGCGTAGACATTGTACTAAAGCTACGACCGGTTCGACACTGGCGGGGGCTACGCGGGCCCGGATCGTTCACCTACACATACACAACTAGCTCGCGGGTCTGTATATACACATCGGCGCACACATTCGTAGGCGTCCTTTACAAGAGACCCGCGCGAGTAAGCGAGAAAGTATCATTTTTGGGCTTGTAAATGATGTACACACTAATGGTGATTTACTCACACAGCCGTGTGCCCGCCGACGCACAAGTTCTTTCATGCCCATACACATTGAAGCGATTTAAACTTGTAATCCCTAACGATGATTTGAATTTAAGGGATTTAGTTTATCCAAAAGTACGCTCCAATAGATTTAATATTAATAAAATGTTGTCTATTGTATAGAATTGACCACTGGTAGTAAACTAGGACTGTTAGGAGCAATAAAGGAGCCGCAGTAACTGTACTAATGTTGATGACACTGTTAAGGGACCAGTCGATGCTATAAAGTTGTCTCTCTAAATGCGATCAGTATTTCTAGTTACACATAAAACATTACAATTTAAAAGGTCATAGCAGAATAAATACTTTCTATCATTTGATATATTGTAATACATTTTTTATGCAACTTAGAATGGCAAACAAGCTGACGGCCCACCTGGTGGAAAATGGTAACCGTCGCCTATAAACATCAGCAGTACCATGGACATAACAGAGTATACTGTTTCGCCCATGATACCCCCCATGCGTTGCCATTCCTGAGGACTAATGTGTTATTCCTCTGTACCCAGTAAATTCACGCCATATCCCACCCTTCAACCCGAAACACAGCCATGCAAACACAGCTGCTTCACGGTTGAAACACAAATGGGACAGAGGTACCCAAGCAATCGACTTTTGTACAAAGTCTCCCTCTGTGTTTTAATAGTTTAATCAATTGTCATGAAATTTAACATACATATATCTAGAAAATACAATATATCTAAACACAAATATTAATCAACATCACAATAAATATTGAATCAACATTACAAAATATATTTAAACATATAACATATAAAATATAATATATAACATTAAAAATCAATAGATCAAAGAGATTGATGTTATAAGAAATTTGAAAAAAAATTCAATTTATTTTAAATTTTCTCGATTTTTTGGACTGCTGTCTAACTGCCGGCATTAGCATTACCCAAAACGTATTACGAAAAAATTGCTTTTTTTTTCAAATTTCTTATAAAATCAATCTCTTTGAACAAAAAAATAACGATTTTCGAGAAAATGTTTTTTTCATTGAAAAAAAATCGAAATATTGCTCATAATGGTGATTTTTGCAAAAACAAAGAATTTGAAACTTCGGTACAAGGAAAAAAAATCGCAGCGCTTTGAATTTTTCAGGGATTTTAGGGGACACTTTGAGGTTGAAAAATATCAATTGAAAAAGTAGAAAAATAAAATAACCGACGATATCCTTTTTCATCCATTTTATCCAAAGTTATCCAAATATCCTTAATTATGCAAATTTTTGTCTTTTATTTAGTAAATTTTTTTAATTAAAAAAAGAATTTGACAAAAGCAATTTACGGTGTCTTATAGAAAATAGCATGTAGTTTCCAAAACCTTCCTTCGATTTCCTATACGATTATTATTTCCAGAGTTATTGATTGTCAAAGTTAAAAAGTACTTTTTTGCTTTGACTGACAATAACTCAACGACAAATCATCGTACAGGCTTTTTGATTACGTCAAATTAAAGAGTATTAAATTTTCTAAAAAAAAGCTATTAAAAAAACAATTAAAAAAATGTTTAAGTCCATTGATTTTTTTTTAGATAAGAAAAATATTGCAAAATTTTTTTTTGTAGTTTCTTTAGCATTACTCCAGACCCAAACTAACCAAAAAATATTCATGGTTACGTCTAAAAACTAGACACTTGGAGCTATAATTGTTTTTTTTTCTGTACCATCATTTTCCTCGGAGTTACAGCTCGTTGAAAATCACCCAAAAATTTGGAATTTTTGTACATCCCTTAATTTTTGTATATAATGTAGTTATAAAAATATATTTTCAATTATTTAATCTCAATTCAATTTATTCGTAGCAATATTACATCGTGTTGAGTATCTTTTTATGTTAAAGTTATAAAAAGTAGTTATAAAAGAATTTTATAGTACACAGAAAAAGTATGAAGGAATAAAATGATAAATAATAATTGTCTAAAAATACTCATACGTAATATACATATATAACGCGCATTACTGCGTAGGGTGTTATTAATATCATCCTAAGCGCAAACGAGATATTATTAATATAATTCGGAATACGAAATCCTACATTCCGCATTCACTTCATAAGTATCGCGAAACTTAATTACATTGTCCTTTACTCACGACGAGAGTAAATGGCGTTACACAAATCTCTAACTTCATTCGATTTGCCGTAATTAAACTTAGCTCAAAACGAGTCACAGAACTTTCTTAATATTGTTTTCGAACCATCTACGGAACATTCAAAGGATGATCGAACCAAATAATAATCTGGTTCATGATTTATTTCATACTAACTGTAACCCGCGGCCTCGTCTGCGGTCGTATCGTTATGATGTAAAGTTTATTACCTAACTCAAAAAATTAGCTATCAAATTCAAAAAATTTTTTAAACCCTAGTGATAAGTAGTTTCAGAAATCAACGCATTTGAACAAACTATTTTTATAAAAAAATACCAGTGTTTAGATAAAATTAAACACATAATTATAACAATTATTGTGATAAAATACGATAACGACGAAATTTTGCAGACTATACAAAATAGTTAAATTAAATGAATTAATAAAAGTTCTTTAATGTTTCTTTAAAAAAAACATGCAATTACATAAAAATGTGCACACAAAAAATTAAAATCACGAGAAGCGAAAATGGGCGATTTTATCGCTAAATAGCAATTTCTTTCAGGCAATCTTAGAAATTATATTATTTATTCATATTATTAGATAATTTGTTAATTTATTATTAATATTAAATAGTATACTTTTATTTTACAAAGTTAAGATTAGTCGAACATTAAGTTTAAATACATGGCTACCTAGAATCGCATATTTGAACATAACACTCAACTTGCTTCCAAGAATAAATTAATATACAGCTCCCTCAGGCACTCACATCATCGATTGGCGCTGATACGCAGGCTGTTAGCTTTGTAGTTATTAATTTTGAACAAATGTATCATGCACATGTATTGGATTATATACATGTGTATAATATTATTATTTTACTTTTAACTAGCTTTTTGCTTCTTTAATAAAAATGTTTTTAAAAGTCAACTGCACAGTTGTCATAGAGAAAATAACAATATAATATGTAAGTGTCCATTTTTAGATAGTCAAACATTTATAAAATATGTTGGGACCATATTGAACCAAATTTTTACCTGGGAACCATAAATTGAAAGATAGAGTACGTAAACTAATATATATCTTTAAAACCTTAAGGCATGTTACTAACCCAAAACTTATAAAAACAATATGCTATAATACAATCTATACCAGTGATTCTCAACCACTGTGTCGTGGCACTTTTGTGTGCCGCCAAATTTTAAAAGTGTGCCGCCAAATTTTGCAAATATTTAAAATTTTTGTCATAAACTATTTATGCAGTGTGTTGTAGTAAGTAAATAATTTTTATCTTTTTCTTTGTGTGCCGCCAAATTTTGAAATCGTTAAATATGTGCCGCAACAAAAAAAAAAAGATTGAGAATCACTAATCTATACTAACATATAGTATAAGGGCGTTAGGGGAATAAAAAAAATCTCATTTGTGCCGATTAGAAAGAGTACAACGATCTCTTTAGTTTTTTTTTTTTTTTACAACACGGGGCAAATGGGCATGCGACTCACCTGATGGTAAGTGACTACCGCCGCCCATGATCACCCACAACACCAACGGCATTGTAGGTGTGCTGACGGCCATCCACCTGATTATATATTTATAGTTGCAGAAAGAAATTCTTTCTATTTCACCTTGTTATTTATAATTGATTAGCTAATTTATTCCTATCTATTCAATGTTAAGTATGTTTTATTTATTTGTGGAAATTTCTCTGAATTTTCGTTATTTAAATGTGTATGTTGATTGTAACAAGAAATTGTTTATTTCCCGAATAAGATAAAATAACTTATATACCGAAATAAAATAAAAGTATGTTTAGTGAACTCTGGCCCGTCTAAATATTTATAAGTTTCCTTTCCTGATGTCGCTTCTGTACTCCACAGCATGTATTTTATCTATTAGACGACAGAGAGACCTTTTTTTGCCAGTATACTCAATCTAGACAAGATAAATTGACACGGGCTCGTTCTACTAATGTAGTTCCAGGACATTTCAGATGTTTCAATTTCTAGTTGTTACGATATAAAATATTGGAGAACCAATAAACAGGCATTGAACATAATTCATGTAAACACAACATCAGATTTTTATTTCAGCTGTTAATTATCAATTTTTCAACTTAATCGTCTTATATGTGCCTAGAGTGCTATAAGAGACAGTCTTGAGTGACCTATATAAAATATTTGAGGTTATCACTCCATTTAGTAGAAAGACCGTCTTAAACTGCATTTGTCTCTTAGGTGTTGCTATTCAAGTACCTTCCACATCTGTCAGTTGTCAATTCTGAACCACCCATTAAAAATGGTAATCACTTAAACTTGCTTATAAGGACACGTAGAAACACTAGTATTACGTGTGAAATAATTATTGTGATCAGAATATTCCAAGAAATAGCTTATTCTAGATAGTAACCGCTTCGTTTTCCGTCTCATTCTCTCACGGCAGACACATTGCATTGTCAAAGTTTTACTGAAGAAAATTTAGGTAGGTATCAAAGTTGAGTGAAAAGTTTTCAATGAAGATGTCGCAATTAATTTTCGATAAAATTTAGCTCGTTAACGTCGGAAAATTACAGCCTTTGAAAGGGCCCTAATTGAAATATACAAAAGTTTTTTCATTAAAGCCCTGCGTACTGCCATTTGAGTTTCTCAATACAAACGCCTGGAA